ATCAGTAGTTATCATATAGTAAGAAATTTGAGGATAACTACAGCATCTATGATTAAAATAATTTTGGGTACTATTTTTTATGCAGTTGTGTAAGATTTTTTACCTCACCAGTTTGCCAGTACCCTTTTCTTTCTTTCCTTTTTTCCAATTCAATCCTACTACTTTTCTTTCCTTAAAATTTTTTATTTGTATAATGATAAAATTCATGCATGATAATCATCAAATCAATAGTCCACTACATGTACCATATTCTATACTAAACACGCAAATGCATAATGCATGTTACACCTTATGCTTGTCACAAACATACATTTCCAACTGCTAACAAGATACATGTGCTCACAAAGAGGAGGTCCCTTAACCTTTTGTGTATTATTCCATGTCAGACCTTCTTCTTTAAAACCACATTGTAGTCCTCGGACCAAATAAGTACCTTTATAAATTATGAATGTCACATTCTAAATAATAATGATAACGGTGCTATGTACAATGTATATATCTGATTGGATATCATACATGTATGTATATGCATGCACATGTATTTTAGACATAACTCCGCTTAATATGAAATAACATCCTGTATGTGAATAATTCCCAATGTGCAAACAACTATTGTTAATCTGAACATGCACATGTTGCAACAATTATCAATAAAAGATGTGCAGCATCAGCTGGCAAGCATTTAATATGCGCACAGCATTTATGGAAGCATCATTCAAATGCACAACATCAGCCAGCAAGCGTTAACTAAATAATGTGCACAGCATTGATGGCAGCATTATGCGCAACATCAGCATTAAATTATATGTACTGCGCACAGCATTGATGGCAGCATTAACATGTACAATGATAATTAATATGTCAAGATATTATATAACTGGGATAGAAAACTGATGACGTGACATGGACAACTATTGTGATTTGCGCTCTAATTAGAACAAAGGAACTTTTGCCAAAGATCTTACTTCTTTTGTAGCAATGATATGCTGCTTCTATAGGAGCTCTTTTTACTTAATGCAGTGGAATTATAGTGTTACTAAATCTTAGAAATAGTGTCGTGGAATCCCTTGTTCTTCTGCATGTTTTTCCCAGACAATTTCTTGTAGGACTGAACCATGGATGTTGCAAAAGAAAACCCTCTTAGTGTGATGAACTCTCTGATTATTTCATACAATTTGTCAATGAGACATTCGCAGTTGCAGACTGGAAATGTGGCATGGGCTAGAAAGTACAGGGGTGGAAGAAGCGCGCCACAATTTTTGCCACACCCCCTTTTTATGTTAATAAAGCAGCTTTTTCCTTCACTTCCTTGAATTATGGGTGTGGTCAAGATACTCTGAAGCATACTGGTACTTCTGACATATCATGGCTTCTTATAGCACTGGAAACTGCTGAGATCGTGGTAGGGGGCTAGAAAACTTTGTTAAAAGGCTTGGTAGTGATGCAAGAGTCCAGGATTTAAGTAATTTGACAACTTGAGCAACCAAAATTTACCCAGGCACAGCCCGGGCCTGGAACCGCCTATGCAATGAGAAGTAAGTTGTTTTCTTTATTTCATTATATGCCACATGTGTAGCAGTGCTTCACTTCTAGAAATTGATTCAATAATCTTCACCTTGGAGTTTAGAAGACCTCTGCTCACAACTCTTTTCAAGTTGAAGAACTCTCTTAAGCACATCTCCACTTGATAAAAGAAGTGATAAGTGTTGTCATTAACTATAAACCTCCTCAATCTATCATGTTTAGCCATTTTTCAGTTCCTAGTTCTTCCGTTTCCCTCCCTGCAGTTACAGTCATGAATAAAGACGGCTCTTCTTCATTTTGGTGGGTAGATTTAGATAGGTTGTTTATTATTTTTCTACACACATATCCTGAAACATACCAAACAGCATTTTATTCTTCAATGGGCAGGGTACTTCTGTTGGCAAATCAGGTCGCTGTAACTTGTTGTACTTCTGATACACCAAATGACATAATAACTGGTGTTACGTGGTGGTAAAATGTAGGACCTGAATTAAAAAGATATTGCCATAAGAAGGAACACGTTCCACGTTGAATGAAACGTAAATGAAGTACATAAAGCATGACATTGTACGCATTTGTACTTCCTCTCAGCTTGTACACTCTTTTTAGAGAAGCATGAAGAGTTGAAGTGAGAGATTAAGAAAACTTAATAAAATCAAAAGGATAAGGAGACTTCACCTAAGTGAGAAAAGCTTCTGTTGCTTTGGTGAGTGTACTGTTGGCAATTGCAATTGAGTGTGCCTTTATTTCCTAACTTCCTCCAGAATAATGTCACAAGGTTCTATAATAATAATTATTAATTAAACACTATACTCTTATTTATATTGGTATGCAGCTTCTCTGTTGCATATCCATCAGGCTACCCCTTTTCCTTCTTTCCCTCTGTTTCTCTATCTCTCTTTTACTACACCTGTAAAGTGTTAAATAATAATAAATAATAATAATAATAATAACTAGCTATTGTTTTATCATGATTACCTGTAGCTGTAATAGTGATGTCTGATAAATGAATGTTAGTAACACTATAAGTGGTAGGAGATTTAGCTAAAGATTCATCGACAGTACCTACACGTAGCATTTTATATTTATTTAATGCATGTATAGACATACATACTGGTCTTTCCTCTTTTTCTTTCTTTTGGGAAGTGAATACATTTCATTGTCTGTGCTATTTAACTCTTCATTCCATCTAGAGTTACATTTAACTGAGGCCCAAAAAAAAATCTACAGCATGGAGTGCTTGTGTTTCTCTCAAAATCATTCACAGTCGTATTGTCATGTGTCCTCCTGATTTGTTGTTGATATCAAAAAAACTGTTCCATGGGGTCTTGGCAAAGTCTACGACTTAAAAAGAATTGAACCCCTTGAACAGTAAAAATTATTTCACTAGTTCAATAAATGATTTAGCTGTACAAGAAATTATAAATTTGATAAGCAACAGTGCACATACTGTATTTGTTATTTTCAGTCCTCCAATTGTTTCTTTGCTTATA